CTTTTGATCTTCTTTAAAATTTAAAATTTTGGAATAGCTGTCTGATTTCATATTTATTTTAGAAATTTAAATTATATTTATAATTTTATGTAAGAATGAGTCAAACAGTTAAAGTCATAAAATATATAGAATATATATATTTGTGTTCTCTATCTAAGGAGGTTAAAATGATAGTAAGATGAATGAAAACACTGATGGAAATAAATTCAGGTCAGACAGAGCTCAGCAATCAAAGAAAAATTAAGCTTGTAAATTAACAATCAAGAATAAATAAGTACAAAAAAATTTTTGTTAACAAAGCACAAAGTACCCAACAAAAGAAAAGGCCATTGCTAATCAGACCAAACTTTTCTTGTAACTATGACTGTCCCTAAATATTGTCATATATATATATGTTTATATATAAAATATAAACAAAAATGGAAAAATCCACTGAATGATTTTTAATTACTCTTTTCTAAGTGATGCCAAAATGCATATTAACAAATAGCTGAATGATTAACTGAATGTTTTGGTTTTCATCTATATATTTGGTATCAGGTAGATAAATACTCAATCTAGAATCATATTAGCAAATTGAAAAGCATAGCAGCAATCATTAAAGAAATGAAGAATTTTTACTCTTTATTTTACACATAAATACCAAAGAGAAATTTCCAAATTAAAACAGCAATATGTACTTGTTAGCATTATTTCTAACCCTTAATTGTGCTTTTGCTGCACTGATGAATCTTTCTTGAACACTCAATACTCCTATCCCACACCTGTTTAAATTATAATATTATGCTCTAGCCAGTTTGGCTCAGTAGATAGAGCACTGGCTTACAGATTGAAGGATGTGGGTTCGATTCCAGTCAGGGGCATGTACCTAGGTTGCAGGCTCAATCCCCTATGAGGGGGCGTGCAGGAGGCAGCCAGTCAATGATTCTCTCTCATTATTGATGTTTCTCTCTCTCTCCCTCTCCCTTCTTCTCTGAAATCAATAAAAATATATTTTAAAAAATAAAAATAAATTATAGTATTATAATGCAGCAATTTTCAACCATTTTCATCCCATGGCACATATAAACTAATTACTAAAATTCTGCAGCACACTAAAAATATATTACATACTTTGCTTATCTGACCAAAAAATAGGAATAATTTTTATTTATTCATACCAGATGGCTGTTGTGTTGGCTCTTGTCATTTTTTAAAATTTGACAATCTAAGGGAAAAGAAGTCAAAGCCCCTGACTAAATAGTCAAATATTGCATGTTTCAAAGATTATTGGGACACACCAGTTGGAAATTGCTGTCATGATGTGTATTTGTTAGTCAAACTCCGATGCAGATTGCATAAATCCTCAGTTGTGGTAAGGCTTGCATACAAGGCTGCTGTAAAAATGGGGTTTCCTTTTTTGAAAAGCATAAATAGCAAAATTTCTCTACAATTTATTGACAAGGACTATAAAAAAGAACAGTATACATACGAATGTTCGAAGGGTGGCTGGTCCTCAATTGATATTTTAAGCTAAATATACATATGTATGAATATTAGAGCTGGCATTTCTGTATTTGAAGTAGTGAGGTATTCTTTAAGGGCGGGGGAAATAAGAAGTTCTGGGAAAACGAGTAAAATTCCTTTTTTGTCCTTCCCTGATGTTCATCTTTCCCCCTTTTCTCTTCCTTTCTACCATCACAGCCTGCTACATGCACAAAATAAGGAATGTCAGGTGTAGATCAATGGGTATCACCAGTTGGCAGAGGGTCAGCAGTCTCCTCATTGGTTCACACATAATTTTGGCATAGAGATTTTGAGTATCAACATATTCATTTGCATAGGAACTTCCCCCTATCAATTAAACCAGATGCAATGAGAAATTGTAGTATATTTGAATGTTGTTTCCAAAAAGAGGGTATCCAGTCATGTCATGGCACAGCAGATTAAAACTAAAGGGAATTTGTATGCAGTAGATAATAATAGGCAGAGTCAGCTCCCAGTTCTCTGTGCTGATGGATGATATAGACTCGCCAAAACTATAGCTGATCTAACAGCCATTTGTGCCTGGTACAAATTCCAAGGCATTTTTGTTTTCCACAGCTCCATCATTTTTATTATTTAACTTTTATTCATAGTTGAGTATGTTGAAGGGTACTTTCACATAATATTTTTAAGACTGCATGGATATTTATTTTCTGAATTCATGTAAAACTGATAAAGTCTTTGCTGCTATACATGTTCATTTCATTTATAGACTTAACTTTTCCCTACCAGCATTCTGTAAATATCTATTGAATTTTCCCCATCCATATAGTACAGCTGAGCAAGGTTTGAGGCTAGCCTGATTTAGCTGTTTTATAGATAAGCTGTTCTTACTGCATGAGTGCTTAGAGAATATTTTCATGTCCTTGCAATCCAAAAATTTTAGTGAAAATGCTGGGACTTTCAATGTCCTACTCTTGTCTTCTGTAGCTCAGGAAACTTCCAGTATTATTCCATAATCACTGATACTTAATTTATCTTCTTCTTCAAAAGCAATATTTGCATATTGAATCTCCAGGTTATATCTGAAAAAATGATCTCATTTGTTTTTTTGTGTTTTTTGTGGGTTTTTTTTGGGGGGGGTGCATTTTCTCTTGAGTTCTGAGAAAGCTTTTCCAGTTTATCCTCCATATTACTGGGTCTAGTTTTTACATTGACCATTCTGCTCTTTATTGGCCCAGTGATTTTTATATTTCTTCAATTAAATCATCACTTAAAAATAAATTTATACAATTTGTATATGAATGTAGCAGTGTGTTGTAGTTTACATACTTACAATCTCTACTTTTTTTTAAATCAATTTTTAAATTTTCCAAGCCCTAATTCATCTCAGCCTGCAGCTCGTTAGCTCCTTTCCTTTTCAGCTCAGCCCATTGACTTCACAGGTCTACTTTTACTTATTTGTTGTTAGATAATTCAGTACAGTATAGAGAAGGTTTGAGAAAAGACACAAGTGAAAGCAGTTAAATGCAAGTGACAGAAGGAACTATTTAGAATTAAATGGTACTGTGACAGCTCAGTCTTTACAAGACAACTGAAGAATCCCACATATTCTAGCTAATGGTTAAGTTAACTGCGGAGAAAGACAGAAGAAAAATGGCATTAGAAGCTTCTAATGAACTCTACAAGAACGTAAAACCATAAAGTAAAAACCTAGACCATGTCTTGGCAATAGAAATGGTGTAGATATGACCAGTATCCCATAAATAATCTAGAAAAACTCTACAGAGATGGAAGCCTGATGTTAATCAGATGGGCAGGTAGAACTTGGAAATTAATGCAAATGTAACATCATTTGAATCATAGTTATCAAGATCTAAGGGTATAGGGGCTGTGCCAGTAATCCTGACACTATAATATATTCTATTAAAATATCCCAAACATTCTTTACTCTGATGCTTCAGCAACCCTAACATCAAAATTCCCAACCTCCTCTTCCCATGGAGATCAGCGAGGCTTGGAATGGGATGGAGGCATTGGATGTGAACTGCAGCTTCCACCATAGCCCCCAGTCCCATTGCTGGCTTGCTTTCTCAATTTTGAAAATGTCTATTTCAGCCTATCTCCCTTTCTATGTTTATTACTCTTCTATGTGAGAAACTGGAAAAATCTGTAAAATGAACTTCAAAGCTTTACCTTTCTCTCCTATTTATTGTCCTTCTCTGCGTTTCTCCTGGAGTAAATATTGTTGAATCTGAGCGAGGAGCTGAAACCACTGGAAAACACTCATGGCCTCTAAAAGTTATTGGCCCTCCCCTTTGCATCACATTCTTGCTCATGTGTAGACTCTGTTGTAGCAGGAAGCAAGGAAATGAATCACGTCTCCAGAACGTTCACGAGACAGTGCCCCCCCTTGTGCAACTTGCTAAGGATCCACATGGCAGGGATCCAAGAGAAAGAAAAAAAGGCTCAAATAGGATTCTTTTAGGGATTTTGTTTTCAAATATATAGAGGAGCCAAAATGCATTTCACACAGCAGTAATCCCCACCCCACCCCCATTCATTGCCTATGTAAAGGAAAACACTTTGTTTTTAGAAAGGGGAAATCCACCTCTGAAATTATGGAACACTGACACAGCATCATTCATCTTGGCAAAAGTTGATTGAGCAGATGATGTAGATCCACTTAACTTGGACTCAATCAAAGGTTTTGCTATTTTCATTTCACAGGCCAGATGTAGCTCATCATCGGTTGGAATCGATTCCAGAAGAGGTGTTAGAGTCTGTTGGTCCAAGAGAAAATCTGATCCAGGCACCAAAAAGAGCCACGAGGAAAACGGATACTATCTCCACCGATGGCCCAGCAACTTAGTCCATCATCCAGTTCAGAGTAAGCTGAGGGGTAACCTAGAAGTGATGTTATTTTATTTTTTATTTTATTTTACTTTTTGATTAAAAAAAAAAAAAAAAAAGCTTTATTGTTTCCATTTGGTCCAATGCATGGGAGGGGGCTTCAAGGTGGTTCAAGAATGGCTAGTGGTTTCAGGGAGAGGCCCAGGCAAAAGCCAGACACCAGGGGGTGCAGAGGAGCCCCTCAAAGGCCTCAGGGCCCCAAGGCTCCTCGTCGTGCTTGAGGGTGAGCCTTTGGAAGCGATATTCCCCAGCCCAGCCTGGGGGCCGGCCAGCAGGCAGAGATGAGTCAGGTGTAGCCCATCTTCTGGATGAGTTTCACCTCCTCACCCCGGAAGTGGTTCTCCAGGAAGTCAGAGAGAGGAGGGTGTGAGTGGGCAGAACCCATGGCCTGCAGCTCCCAAAGGGCCTGGTTCAGGTTCCTCTTCAAGGCTGTGGCCTCTTCCATGGAATCCTGAGTTTTGCCATTCATCTCGGGGAGGCTTCAGCATGTCCTGAGTCCAGCAGCCACCGCACTGGTTTTGCATCTTTAAGAGACGCTCAGCACCCTTTTGCTTCTTCTTGACCAACTTGCTCACGCCCTCCAGAGCCACATCTCCGGCGTCGAAATGGAAGCCCAGAGAGAGAGGTAGGTGTGAGAGGCCTGCAGATGCAGGCAGGCCAGGCGGCTGATGGTAGCCTCCACCTCGGTGGAATAAGGCTGACAAATTTGGGAGCTCATGGTTGTTCGGCAATAAGGCGTTAAGGTAGGGTAAAAAAAAAGGTGTGTTGGCTGGTCTCAGAGGTGTTTCCAAAGGTGGTGACTGGATAAGTTGCTGGAGGGTGGTCAGAGGCTGGAAGAAGGGGTGTCCCTGGGTCTTTTCCTTCCAAACACGGTTGAAGCAAGAGATAGAACCGGGACCGCCAAGAGCACTATGAGAAGTGATGCTATTTGTATTTTTAAGTTATTAAATCCCCAGTCATTGTGAAATCATCTCTCATGGCTTACTCTGGTGACTATACTGTTATATCTGAATGGATAGGAAAACTGAATAATTCATAATAATACACGGGTTTCTGAATGTAGAAAAAGCCAGAAACCAATTATACAATAAGCTAGGAATGTGTTTAATTGGGCTACTGGAGTCATCTGTGTTGACTTGAATCTGACTACTGAATAAACGCTTTATAATTTATCATAGCTCCTACAATTCAAATGAAAACAAATTTTTAATTTATTGAATACAATGAATCAATGTTACCTGATTCAGATAAGTTTAGAAGAAGTTTAGAATCTTTATATTCATCTTGTTATATATTACAATATAGATTCCCCATTCCCGTAAGATAACTGTGGGTACTCACATTTGGATTTCTCTACACATCCTTCATAAATCAAATAAGACCAACCACAACTAATGCCTACAGCATAACTAGGAAACAGAAAGTACTGTAAATTTATATACCTTAGTAGGGAAATAACACTCTTTCAAAAAATTCTGAGATGTTGTGACTACCATCTACTGATGTTATGAATTGAAATTTTTTCCCCTAAAGGATGTTGAAGTCCTAACTTTTAGTGTTTATGAATGTGATTTCTTTGGAAATAGTCTTTGTAGATGATTGAGATTTCACTAGGTTAGATCTTAATCCAATGGGACTAGTATCTTTATAAAAAGAATTGGGACAAGATCTCCATCCGCTTCCTCCATCCCCTTCCTCCCCCATGTCATCTTCTACCTCCTCTTACCCACCCCTCAGACGTGAAATATATTAAAGTATACTATAAAGCTACAGAAAGTAAAGTAGTTTGATATTGGTACATGAATAGATAAAATGATCAATAAACAAAAGAGTCCAGAAACATATAGATGAATACAATATAAATGCCCATCAGCAGAGGAATAAGAAAAATTTAAATAATGTATTTATAAAATAGAAGACTATACAGCAGTTAAAATATATACAGCCGGAGCTACCTGTGTTAACATAGTTGTATCTAAAAAAAACTTAATGGAGTGTGAAGACAAAAACAGTTAAGAATTAGAATGATATAATGTACTACCATATATGCAAATTTTAAACACACATGTAGTACTCTACATGATTTTGGATGCACACACACATAAGTAATAAAAATGTAAAAATAAGGCCATGAAAAATACACAACCTAGTTGTTAGGAGGCAATACACTGCCTTACTCTTTTTGCTAGTATTTACCTGATAAGTCTTTCTCTGTTAATTAGTGTTCAGATAGTCTTTTTCCTTTTTGAAAATTGTTTCTCTCCTAAGTGGTATATAGCTAGATTTTGTTGTTATTTTAAACCAGTCTGGTAATTATTTATTTACTGACGATTGATTGATTGTTGATACTATTAAAGTTGTCCCCCCATTCCCCCTTTTACCTACCTCCTCCCAGCCTTCCCTCTCTCCCAAACTCATCTAGCCATTACCACAGTTTTTATCAAATAAAAAACCAAATGCACCCAGATACCCAGACCTCTGAAGGTGCCTCAACTGCACAGCTGCTTGTGCAGCTGCTGGGAGTCTGCCAGGAGCCAGATGAGGTCTTTGGGATTGCTTCTCACAGTTGGCTCCCTGAGGTCGGGGGTGGGGGGAGGGGGGGAAAAGGGGGGTTGGTGGTGCTGGTGTGTGTATGTGGGGTGGCATTTTCACATGATGCTTTGCATCCCTCCGATGCTGTTTGGGAACAGGATCACAAAACTCCCATGATACTATAGGGGGAAGACATGCTTTGGGGGAATAGTAGCATAAGGAAAAATCTATTAGAATCCTCACCTCATATTTAATCACAATGCATGCGATTTGTTGCAGCTCACATTATGTCCTTATACAAACTGTACATGCCTTTTTCCATATGTGGAAAGAAGGCTGCATAGCATTATCTAATATGACATTGGTTCACTCAGCACATACTTACTTAGTACCAACTAGATACCGGACTCGGCACAGGCCACCATGCGGATGTAACACTAAGACTGACCTGACTGTGACCTTCAGGAGTTTACCACTGATCAGAGAGATTAAGTGCACAAATAGACCACCTTCCATTTGTATGGCACTGTTGAGTTCCTCGATTGCTTCCCAATATTTTTTTCCAATTAATTCGCATCACATGCTCTGAGATAATTTCCTCCCCAAGGACAATGAGCAGTGAATAAATCTCCTGGCTGGTAAACTGCGGAGAGATGGAAGCCTGTGTTGATCTCTCTTCAGATCTCAATGTGGACTCCCACCAGGAAGCAACATGCCCCTGAGCAGGGACACAGATGACCCCCTGACCCTGAGCAGCCCATGCATGCTTTCCCCTCTGTCCCCATGCTCCGCCACTCTCGTACACATCATCTTCACCTAACTCATACACATCATCTTCAAGCCCTACTGTGAAACGCACCCAGATGTCAGAGGTAAGAATTAGTTGCCACCCTTCCTGATGTTCAGAAGCTTTTTTGACCCTTCTCATAGGTGAGGGATTCAATCCTAACATTACTAAATGTCAGGAATACGGAAGTGCTGTGAGGTATTATCTTTACCATACTAAAGATCATTTAGAGTAGAAATTTAAAATGTAGATAAGCGGTCTTCACAGGTTCCAGTCCTGGCAGCAGGTTATGTTCCCCTCAGTAAGATGGGATAATAAACACACCCAACTCCAAGAGCTTTTGAAAGGATAGGATCAAGTAATACAAATAAAATGTCTGATGTAGCCCAGCGGCATGGCTCAGTGTTTGTGCGTCGACCTAGGTACCAGGAGGTCATGGTTTGATTCCTGGTCAGGTCACATGCCCAGGTTGCTGGCTCAGTCCCCAGTGTGGGGCGTAAAGGAAGCAGCCAATGATTTTCTCTCATCATTGATGTTTCTGTCTCTCTCTTCCTCATCCTTCCTCTCTGAAATCAATTAAAAATATAAAAATTAAAATAAAAAAATATCTGATGCACACCACATGTCATATGAAGAAATTGAAGCTAATAAAAGTTAAGTCAAAGTTATTTAACCCTCCTTTGGTGGTAGGGTAGTAAGTGGTAGAAACTGGATTGAGAACAGATTATTCTAGCTCCAGCCTTGGAAATATGCTCCTTTCTTGAGCATAATTACATTCAAATTTTTAAGTTACATTCTCATATCAGTAGGAAAAAAGAGAGCATGTTCCCAATATTTATTATAAATTTTATCTGTGATATTTCAGTAATATATTATGCACACTATAAGTAACACACAAAACACAAAGGCTATAAAACTAGAAATAAAGTTACACTAAAGTTTCTCTCACTTTGGATTATTCTTGCTACTTTCCTATGAGTGTTTGTCTAATTTTACTTTATATGCCTATCCCTAGTATAAAATATAATATCTTGCCTATAGCAGATGCTCAATAAACATAGCGAATAAAAGAGAATGAGGTTTGACTCTATGTTGTTATGCTCTAGACTCACTGCTGTAACATACTGACATATTTGAATGCAAATGTGTTCGAAAGCAGCGTCCTTGAATTGCTTTTTAATATAACCACTGGCTATCAGCTGCTAAAGGTCAAGCTTCAGTCGTCTTCCTCCGAGCATTAGTTAAAAGAGGGAGTTAGTTATACAGCATGAACAGCTGGTCTCCCAAAAGGGACATTTGCAAGGAGGAAGATCTTCAAAGGCATACATATCCCATTCAGAACTGTTTGTTTAATTCTCCTATCCATAGAATCTTACAGAAAATAAATGCCACTGCTGTCTCCTTAAAAGCCCTGGACCTGCTGGGGAATTTGAAATTGCTTAATAATCGTGGCTCTTAATTTTTGGTTTTTCCCCCCGCAATTATTGGAATAAACTATAGGTGTAGATCTTCAACTTGGAGGTGATTGCCTGTGGACTGGATGAGCGTGTGTGTTTTATTTCCTTCCCCACCAGATGAGAGGGCATAAAAGCAGTCACCTGTCAACCCACTCCGGCAATGAAATTCAGCAGCCTATTGTCCCAATCACTGCTCTCAATCACTCTAAACGGCCTCCAGAGGCCATCATTATTATAGGACATGTTCCTAAGAGCAGATAAATGGAGCTCCACCTGCCAGCCTGCATAGGGAAAGATGGACACTCCCGGCCAAAAATATGAAAGGGCCTGGAGCTTTATTGACATTTACATCAAAAATAGTTAGCAATGAAAGCAGCTGTTGTGGCGTGCTTTCACCACGACGTGTCTGGAATATGCTGTGAATTGAAATACAGACCTCCTGACAAGCAATTTACCTTCTGTCAGTCTCCATGTGCTTGCAGCATTACCGGGTACTCGCTGTGATAGGCCACTTAAAGCTGCACATGTGTACAGTTTGGATGAAAGATTAACTACAATTTGAGACAGGAAGCAAGGAATTGCGGAGTGTCATTCATAATGGCTTACGTTGTCATCTGCAGGGTGACACCAGAGCAAGAAGGTGCCTCTGTTGTGACTGCCTTATGGAATCGGATGTCATTCATTTTAATGAAGATCTGACTACAATTCTAATAAGCAGAGAGCAAGACAGCTCAGGACTGGAAGCATTAATCTGCCTTGTTTGTTGACATTACGGGGACGACAAAAAATGCCATAATGCAAGAAATTCTTTCAGAAGTGACTCGATACGGGCAATGGTAACACAGCGTATAACGGCCCAGAAAAAAAAAAAAAAAAAAAGATGTGCCAGGAGATCATTTCTGTATGTATTCTTCTCAGTGGATTCACTACATTGAATTCCCCCTCCCTTGAAAAATTTCTCTGAGATGAAATATGACGATGTCT